TTGGTCAGTCGTGGGGCTTGAACTCTGGGCCTGGGCGCTGTCCCTCAGCTCTTCAGCTCAAGGCGAGCGCTCTACCACTTGAGCTACAGCACCACTTCCTAAAAAGAGCTTTTAAATGATCACAACATTCCAAGGATGATATAGCCACCTCCAGAGTGGTAAGTTTCCCATTTCTGTGACTAGTCAGGATAGCTGTATACAAAGACAGAATGGGATGAATGAAAACGCTCTGGCGCTAGCAAATATTTTACTGATTCAGCCACTTCCTATGTGATCATGGCAATGTTCAATTCACTTCTAAGTTTCAGTTCCATCATCTATAGAAATGGAAGTGATAACCCAATTTCAGCAGTGTAAGAAATCAGAAATAAAGCAGGGGGACATATAACACAGTACCCAGTACTTTGTATTAGTTCCATTATGAACACCTGCCAGAAACCTCATTTTTGGCACCAGATTGGCCTGGATATGACCCACTAACATCCTTTTCAATCTTATGATCTTACAGTTTCTCTTAATATGTAGAACAAAAACTCAAGGTCTCATATTTATTAACTTAATAATTAAGAGGAGTTATTGACATGAGGCTATCACTATTACCATGTTCCTCCTTCTACCTACCATACTCACATCCTTTGCTGTCTAGCCTTTTTTCCCCAATCTCCAAGACTAAACATTATACTTGCCTTCCTGCCTTTAACACTAATGGTCACAAAGCTCTTGAGGAAATGTGGCATAATGAAAATATTCTTTTTATTTACTTATTTATTTTTATCTTATTTTCTGGGCTGGTCCTGAGGCTTTAACTCAGCCTCTCAATGCTGTCCTTGAGTTTTTGTGCTCAAGGCTGACACTCCACCCCTTGAGCCCCAGTTCCACTTCTTGCTTTCTGGGATTTAATCGGAGATAAGTGTCTCATGGACTTACAACCCAGGCTGGTTTCAAACCACGATCCTCAGATCTTAACCTCTTAAGTAGCTAAGATTACAGATGTGAGCCACTAGTGCCAAGCAATGATGAAATTAGGCTCTGGTTCTGCTATTAACCACTTATGTTCTCTTTGACAATTCTCATATTTATTTATACTGATCTATAAGACTAAAGTACTGCTCACAAACATGACCTCATTTGACCTTTACAAGTTCATGGGACTACTAAGTTCAGGAGTATTACTGCCATTAACTAACAACTAAGGAAATACACGGACCACAAGATGGAGTTGTGAGGGGAAATAGAAGCTTAACATCCTTCCCCAGTCCATAGTCCTACCCCCTAGTCCCCTCAAAAAAGAAAAAAAATCCTAAACAGAACATTCCAGATCAAACAGTGTGGATTTGTGTGCCCCCACCTTACTTTAAACAACTTGGTCTAGTAAAGAACGAAATTTAAAAAAAAAATGAAATCCATAAATTTACTGAGGTGTCATTGTCTCTGTTTTCCTGCAGAGGCTTTGAAAATGTATACATACCTATGAACTTATACAGACATAAAATATATTTTCAATATCCAAGAAACATTAATACTGGTTGCTTCCAGAGAGCATCAGAGAACTGAAGAAAAATAAAGGCCCCTTTTGACTTTTATTTTAAAAATGTGAAAATACTATCTATTAAAAAGCTTTTAGGTCTTTTGTTTGTTTTCTGAGAGGATCTTTCTATGTAGCCCAGTCTGACCCTTAACTTTCCATTCTCCTGCCTCTGCCTGGACAGTGATGGAACTGCAGGGGTGCGCCACCATACGTGGCCTAAAGTCTTTCGCTTGAAAAATGTTTTAAGAGCTGTATAAGAATACAAATAATATTTATAAATATTTTTCCAATTCCACTTGCAGCTGCGTGACCTTGAACACCGTCTATCTCAAGATTTCCTCACTCGAAATCATGGATCCACGGAACAGCTTTACCTACAAGGGCTTTTGTAACGATTAACACGTTTTGCATGGCACCTGGCACCCTGTAAACCTACAACAGCTGCCAGTTCCCGTTAATTACTTAAGGACAAACGTGGTTCCTTGTGCTTTTTGTGGTTGTTTTCCAAGCAGCACCCAACATACAAACCTGTCTTCATAACATTCCAATTACGGCGCAGTCCCTGATATCGCTACAATGCCTTGTCCGTCTGCACGCTTCATCTTTCAAACTCCCGGTGGCCCTGGGACGTCACTGTGAAACTCGTTTCGCATCGGAGGAAACCAAGGCACCGGGAGGCGGGAACTCGGAACCCCTACTGTGCTCTCTCTACCAAAAACCCCGGATCCCTGACCGCGTTCGTCGCTCCCGGGTCCCCATCTCCCGGAGTCGTGTTCCACGCGGCACTGACCTGAGCGAGCGCCCCGGGGCCCGGGACCTTGCGCCGGGCTCACACCGATTAGGCGCGCTCGGGCCGCCAGAGCCTTGCAGCGGCCGGGTCCGCTCCGCAGCCATGGCGCCTGCAGGGAGAGAAAGACAAACAGACCCGGGCGCGGCGGGTCAGCAGAGGCGCGAGCACCCAGAAGCCCCCTCCCTCCCCGACCCGCCCCGCCTCGTACACAGACCTGGACCCGAGGCCGCTGCTCTCCCGATCCTCAGCCACACAGGGGAGCGGCTTCCGGTATTTGTACGTCATCTCCGCGCGCCCCTCCCGTCCGCGGCGCCAGGCGGAAGCGGCTGCACTTCCGGCCCCCGCCCAGAGGGGGGGGAAGTGGGAAAGTGACTGAGGTTGTCAGTCAGCGCATGCGCAATAAGATCGGTTCCAACTTTATTACTGGTGGAACTTGGCACAAACTTTCTCTCTCTCAAGCGTTGGGTCCAAATTTGCCCAGAATGTGTATGACTCTCCCCTAACTTTCTCTTGCCCCAACGCAGCGACAGTTCTTTTTCTTACTTCACCGAGGACTTTTGAGTTCAAACTTCAGTACCAGCATTAAAAAATAAGTAAAAATTCTGGTTAGCTTTAGTTAAAGTTTATATGGGCACACTTGGAGAATGACTACCGTGTTGGATATCATAATCCAAACATAAAAGGACAATGGGAGTTAGTGCTACAACATATCAAGGGTCCAAATTTCCTCACTATGGAGGAAATGGGAACATTTCCTCACATGCAGAAAATGGGAACAGAGGCTCAAAATGCTGGTTCTTGTCATTTGGTATCGTATCATTTGGTTGGGGGATTCCAGCTGATTTGGTGGAGGAAGTAAAGATGGAATATGATATTTGACTTGGATTGTGTAAAATGGATAATGAATGATTTTTAAGATATAAATGTAAGTGTCCTGTGGATAAGACTTCCCTGGTAACTCATCACTTGAGCTAGTAACTGTAATTGTAACTCTGTAACTCCATAACCCTGTAACTCTGTAACTGCTTCTGCTGTTTTATGAGCAATGGGAGCCCTAACCCAGGGGACCATCACCACCCTTTGTTCTATTCTTCTGCTTCCTGACAGCAAAACCTTGGCAGGGAAATTTAAACTTAAGGTGTGCATTTCTTGTAACAATCATTGGCTAAAACCAATACCCAGCCTCCTCCTTTCCCTGCCCTAGCCCCAAATGTTTAAAAGCCCATATGGGCTGGCCCTGGGGCTGTTCCTGGGATCCCATCTCCAGGTGCTGTCCTGGGGCGCCAGCACTTTTCCCTCAATAAAATCTTTTACATTTTCACTGCGGACTGAGTGGTCTCACTGCCCCTCCCCACTACACAGTTTGACCCTTTACAGATAGAACTACTCAAAGCACCTAATAACACATAATCACTTTGTTAAATTTGCAAGCGCACAGACAATGAACTTAAGGTGGGTTTATTATGGAAAACATGGAGAAATGGAGCCTCAGATGAGTCTTATTATTGCTTAAAACATGGAAACAATGAGTGTAATATTTAAAACATTCCCCTCTGGTTCAAAGAACACATTCAACAGAGTCTTTTTTCCCCTCAGGTTTCTGTTGCTTCATCTAAAAGAAAGGAGGAGGAGGGAAGAAATACTTGCTGCTCCCCAGTGATTTTTCAGTTTTCTTTCCTGTTTTTTTTTAATCTTTCCTGAATTGGAAATATTTTAAATTATTTCCAATTTCCTGTTGCCTCATCTTATCTGTCCTACCTCAGGCACTTGAAACATGGGAAGTAAAAATTATGTGGGTTGAAAACAAATTATTATAGAGTCTCCAAAGTCAGATCCAAAGAGAGAAGATTTGATTTGATAGGAAACAGGAAGTTACTGTAGACTTCTAAACCACTGATTAACTGGTGACCACATTTAGGAAGAGATAGACATAGAGATTGGATAACCTCTGTGGAAAGGAAGAAAGTAAAGAAGTCCAAGATCTCTTTGCAACAAGTTGTCTCAACCTCAGGAGGTCAGAAGCTTGATGAATCAAATTGAAAATTACAGATAGATCTTCCCCATAGAGATATTCTTTGAATCTCTCATAGATAAAGAAAATAAATGTCAATCCAGAGAAGATACAGGGAAACAAAATACTTTTAAAAAGGAGAAAAATAACTCCACCAGTGGCTCACACCTGTAATCCTACCTATTCAAGAGGCTGAGACCCAGAGAATCAAAATTTGATTCCAGCCTGGGCAGAAAAGTCCACAAGTCTCAGTCTTCAAAAATAGCCATCAAAATCCTGTTTTGAGGCATGGTTCAAGTTGTAGAATACCAGCTAAATAAACCAAGCTGAACAAGTAAAAGGCCATAAGTTCCAACCTTCGTAAAGAAAAAAAAAAATACCCAGGATGGCTCACACCTGTAATCCTAGCTAGTCCGGAGGCTTACAATCTGAGGATCATAGCCCAGACAGAAAAGTCCATGAGACCCTATCTCCAATTAACCACCAGAAAACCAGAAGTAGAACTATGGCTTAAAGTGGTAGAGTGCCAGCCTTGAACAAAATTTCTCAAGGACAGTGCCCAGGCCCTGAGTTCAAGCCCCACAACTGACCAAAAAAGAAAAGAAAAATATACTGTAAAATACAATTGGATATTTACAAGGTCCATAAATTAATAAAATTTGACTTTTTTAATTTTTAGGTTAGATTCTCTCACTTGATGAAGATTTCCAAGATTGCATGTTATGTTCAAAAAATACAGTCAACTTTGAATATAAGAATTTTTTTTTCTATTGGGGATAAACTTACTTGGAGGAGGTAGCTTGTGTGACTTAACAATTGACATAGCAATGGTCTTACATAACTTATACCAGGAATCCAGAATCTGATGTATGAGATATATAAGACATCACTATATGGTATTTCCTTTGGAAGATAGAAAATGCATCCATGAAGGATGGCAAGTATCTGGCAATATTCAGAACATCTTAAAAATGTACTTGTATCAAAGTGATGCAAATGTTTAGCATTTTTTAATATGGACTTAAAAATAAAGTTTTCCTCCTTTGGCAGTGATGCTGTGGAGAGATGATACAGGTGAACAATTCTCTGAACTTTTTCTATTCTTTGCTCTGAATTTGCTCTCACTGTAACATGATAAGTACTTACTCTCCTATGCAGGCAGCAAGTATTCTGGGACAAAAGCTCAGGTCAATTGGCAAAGAAACCTTATCCTTAAAGTTTGTGGCACAGCATACTTTACTGCAATTGCTGATAGACTGGAGATACCCTGAGATATATTTTGACATCTGGACTTAACAACTTTGAAAGCCCTGAAATTGCTCATAGACAACATGCAGGTAAGATTCTGATCTGATAATCTTGGAAGCATTTGCTGTTTATTAAAATAGGCATGGAGACTGCTGAAGTTTCTTTTATATGTAAACCACCTGCAATGAGAAAATAGAAAAGAGTAAAGATTACAATTGTCTGAGGGGGTTTTGTTGTGTTTTGTTTTCCTACTAAATGAATGCATACAAGGAAAGACAGGATTCCGGATTTTCTAGTGGTTAAGAATAAGCTTTAGAATGACAGTTTTGAGTTCAAACCACGACCCTCCTCCAATCCCTTACCCACTCAGGTGCTCAGTTTAGTTTAGAAGATAACCCATCTGAAAATGATATTACTAGAATTCAATGAATTAAGGCCTAAAGTTCTTAGCACTGTGTCTGGCACACAACAATTACCCATGAAAAATAACTAATATTTTTCTTTGTTGTGTGTGCTAGTACTTGGGTTTCAACTCGGGGTCATTTTGCTTAGCTATTTTTGCTCAAAGCTGACACTCTACCCCTTGAACCACACCCTCCAATTTCTAGTTTTTTGCTGGTTAACTGGAAATAAGAGTCCCTCAAATGTATCTTTATAGGCTGGGCTTAAACCATGATCCTTAGATCTCAGCCTCCTGAATGGCTAGGATTACAGGCATGAGTCACTGACACCAGGCAAACATCACTACTATTATATGAGGCCTTTTTAAAACCAAAATTCTTATGAATAATTAATTCCTTTACTATTCCATCATTTTATTACATTTTTGCATATTTACTTCCATATGGGACTTTTCCATCTCTTTTGATAAGGTGGAGTAAGCTTGGCACATGTCTATTCTAGATATCTGGAGAGGTGCTTTGTGTATAGTACGAATCTGCTCATATTGACAGACACGTCAGAATCATTAGGAGATGTCAGATTCAGATTCAAATTCAGATTCAGATTCACTATTAGATAAAATTAGAAAGTCGTACTAGGGCTGGGAACGTGGTTTAGTGGTAGAGTTCTTGCCTTGCATGCATGAAGCCCTGGGTTCAATTTCTCAGCACCACATAAGCAGAAAAAGCCGGAAGTGGTGCTGTGGCTCAAGTGATAGAGTGCTAGCCTTGAACTGAAGAGCTGAGGAACAATGCCCAGGCCCAGAGTTCAGGCCCCACGACTGACAAAAAAAAAGAAAAAGAAAGAAAGAAAGAAAGAAAGAAAGAAAGAAAGAAAGAAAGAAAGAAAGAAAGAAAGAAAGAAAGAAAGAAAGAAAGGAAGGAAGGAAGGAAGGAAGGAAGGAAGGAAGGAAGGAAGGAAAGAAAAGGAAAAAAGAAAAAGAAGAAGTCACACTAGCAGGAGGTAAATGATAAATAGCTAGTACATGGCCACCAAAAACAACATGGAAAAATAGCTGTTGACCTTTGTAATTAGAGAAGAAACTGATCCAAGTGCTTCCATTAGAGAAAGAACACATATTTTCCTACAGGTTTTATTACAATGAGCCTACTTGTATCCTATCTTCCTGTCTATGTCTGATTGTTCTTTGTATTTCTAGGGTCCAATACAGTGTATTATATATAGTAAAATAGTCTTTCATTCAAACAAGGAAAAAAAATGACTAACTAGTGTCCAAACACACTAGACTTGGCAATGTGAAAAAAGAGAGACTATCATGCTTGTGTCCATAAGACTACGTTTATTGAAGAGACAAATAATAAAGAACTATTAAAGTTCATATAGTGTTCTGTAGGGAGGAGGAGGAGGAAGAGGAGGAGGAGATAGATTAAGCTTGAATGAACATTTGTCCTTTTCTTACTTAGGTGACATTCTGCAGACTTCGAACTCACCAGTGGTGTTTTATTCTGTTTAATGTCATCCTATTTCATGCTTTGCTTTTTGGGGGTGACTTTGTGGAAGAATACTTTCTGCATTCTTTGCCTCATGTCAATATGAAAGTCCTTGAAATTAAGGAT